TCTTAGTGTTGCTTATCTTGGCGAAAGCCGAGTACAAATCAGCATGAAGTTTTAACATCTACTCTTGTGTAATGGAAATCTTAACAGTTTGAAAAGGACATTTGTCATTACATAATGTACAGTTAAGACATTATGTAAATGTTCTTTTTTGCTCTTTTGGAAATCCAAGGTGGCAACCAATATAGCCAGAAAAGACATACATGTGACAATATTTCAGGTGGGGATCATCAACATTTGTTTATTAGACATCTTACAGACTGTAAAAATACAAAAGTTAGAAAACATATATCAATAGGCTCCATATGGGAGGAGTTCCAGTGATCCAATGTCAGCATTTTTTTTTTTACATTTTGTGGTGTTTATTTGAGTCTTGATGCACTATACATCATCTAATCATGACAATATCTCATATCTATCAATTCCTCATGAAAAGACGAAGAGAAAATGGGGTGGATTGTGTCTGTAGGATGTATTGTTCAGATTCTGTGTAGATTTAAAGTTTTCATTTTTCACAGCCGAAAATCAAGCACGGACACAAAAGATGATACAAAAAATCACATATGGGACAATAATTTGCGTGGGGAACATCAAAATTCCTTTTCTAGACACCTTAAGGATTACAAAAAACTAGGTTAAAAAAATATACCTTTCGGGTGCAGGTGACCCCCCCCCCCCCCCCCTTCCTACCCAACTATATAGAGCTGTTCAGTCGTGCCGCAATTTATAGGCCATCCAGAAAGGCTATGTTTGAAACTCTGTTTGGGTTTTTACAATAGCAGTTTTCAAATGTATTACTGATGTTCTGTTGTTAACACTTTCATAACTTTCATGTTCAAATGTGTATTTTATCATATCACATAGTTGAACCTCAAATTTTTAAACTTTTGTTCTTTTATAAAGTTGCTAGATGAGGACAACAACTACCAAAAGGATGTGAGTTTGTGTGCATGACATCTGGTGCAGTACTTATGTAACAACTTGTTAGCAACTTAAAGGGTTAGTTCACCCAAAAATTCTATTTCTGTCATTAATTATTCACCCTCATATTGTTCCAAAACCGTAAGACCTTCGTTCTTCTTCTGAACACAAATTAAGAAATTTTTGATGAAATCCGAGGGGTTTCTGACCCCACATAGACTGCAACTTAATGACCTCTTTCTGGGCCAGAAAGGTAGTAAAGACATTGTTAAAATAGTCCATGTGACTTCAGTGGTTCAACCTTAATGTTATGAAGTGACGAGAATACTTTTTGTGTGCAAAACCCCTCAAAAATAATGATTTTATTCAACAATCTCTTCTCTTCCACGTCATTCCCCTACGCTTTTGACGTTGTGTAAAAACAGCGCAGTGCATCCCGTTTCCTGAATGCCGGTTCTGAACACGTTCATTATCGTGATGTCTCCTTATTACTGTATATTGGCACATGTCTAGTCAACAGGGTTCCCGCGGATCCTTAAAAAGTCTTAAATTAGATTTTTAAAATTTAAGGCCATAAAAATTATGAAAGGTCTTACATTTTAGATGACACTTTGACTTAGTTTTCATTTGGAAAGCATTTAGATATGTCTATCTAATTAGCGTACATTTCACGCGACAATTCGCGTCATTCGCGGCAGCATATTAAGTCTGTCTCCTGCACGTGAAACAGGAGAGAAGGAGAAGAAAACGGATAAATGTCAGTTAAATTGTAAGTTCATATTTATGTGCGTTGGGGTGTGCGATATGTATTGTTTATGATGATATTGTAATCATTGTTTTAACGATGTGCGAGGCGCGAGCTGACAACGCGTTTGTCACTCATGCTTTCACTGCGTGATGAGTCCAGTTAAGTACCGGTATATCCCCAAATGAGTTTTTGTCTCATATTTCTATCAAATTATGTTATTATTATATAATATCACATGAGCACGAGTGCCGTTTTCCTGTGCACAATTGCAAATGTGATATTTATTTTATACAACAGTTAAATTAACAATAAATTAACATTGTGAGTTACATTTTATAAACAATATTTTTTTTCCCTTTATTTCACCAACGAGAATCTCAAAATGAAACCGTAGCAGGGTCTCAATGCAACAGACAGCTATGATTTTTTGACTGAAATCCTCGTTTTGAACGAGCCAATTTAATGATTCAATGGACCATCACTTGCTGCTTTCCAAATAAATCAGCCGTTTGAACGAATCTGTTGAATGAAGGACTCCTTCAACTCACTTATTCAGACACTTATTCACACTTATTGCCACCACCTACTGGCGGTTTTAGTTTCATATTTAAAGTACCCTTTAATTAAAACGTTAAAATTAGAAATCATTTCATATTTAAATATTGAATTAAAAACACCAATCTCATAGCTTTATTTATGCAATTGTAAATGCAGTGTAAGTATGTTAATGCCACTTCTGATGCAGCTTCTGTGTCACCTCTGCACTGCAAAGATGGATTTTGATTTAATGATTAAATTTGACTGGTAACAGTGGTATTGTGTTGTTATCCTAATAGAATTAATTTGAATGTTAGAATTTGACATAAAAGGTGATACATCTAAAAATGTCTGTATATAGGTGAAAATGCCCCTGGAAATCAATTTAAGGTGGCAAATATTGCCCCTTAATAAAAAATGCTAATATCTGTCACTGCTGTGAACTGACCACTACATAGAATATGAAAAATATGAATATCTTTGTGAGTCAGCTGTCAACAACAGGCCTAAGAGCTGTTCAGTCGTGCCGCAATTTATAGGCCATCCAGAAAGGCTATGTTTGAAACTCTGTTTGGGTTTTTACAATAGCAGTTTTCAAATGTATTACTGATGTTCTGTTGTTAACACTTTCATAACTTTCATGTTCAAATGTGTATTTTATCATATCACATAGTTGAACCTCAAATTTTTAAACTTTTGTTCTTTTATAAAGTTGCTAGATGAGGACAACAACTACCAAAAGGATGTGAGTTTGTGTGCATGACATCTGGTGCAGTACTTATGTAACAACTTGTTAGCAACTTAAAGGGTTAGTTCACCCAAAAATTCTATTTCTGTCATTAATTATTCACCCTCATATTGTTCCAAAACCGTAAGACCTTCGTTCTTCTTCTGAACACAAATTAAGAAATTTTTGATGAAATCCGAGGGGTTTCTGACCCCACATAGACTGCAACTTAATGACCTCTTTCTGGGCCAGAAAGGTAGTAAAGACATTGTTAAAATAGTCCATGTGACTTCAGTGGTTCAACCTTAATGTTATGAAGTGACGAGAATACCTAGAGATTGGCATGGTGTTATTTCAGTTAGCCTAATAGCTGGTTTGATTTGCATTGAAAGATGATCTTATGGAAAGTACCCCATGCCAATCTCTAGGTATGGTGAAGGGAATGTGATGATGTGGGTCTATTTTAATTCCAAAGGCCAAGGGAACTTTATCAGGATGCATATTATCCTGGATCCATGAAATAACTGGCCTTTAAAAATAAAAATCTGCCTGACTCTATGGGAATTTAACATAGGGGGGGCCTGACTTATGCACCCTGTATTTTAAGGAAGAACATTTATTTATTTATGATACATTATTCATACACAAAGAAAATTGGTGTCCTTAAAGGTTGGATTTTTCTAATTAAGGCATTAAGATCAATTTCCAAAAGATGATTTTTTATTCCTCTTTTTAGGCAACTTTAGCATGGGGGTAATAACTTATTCACACCACTGTATATAGCGCTTTATACAATACAGATGTTTTCAAAGCAGCTTCAGTAACAACTGGAAAATGATTCAAGGATGCAAACAGAGTTCATTTCGGCTGTACCACAGCTCTAAAAGAAAACAGTGTCATTGTTCAGCTGAAGTCAGTTCAGTGTTGATTCAGTTCCGTTGTAAAGATCATCGATTATTAAATTAATTTAATCTATAAAGCAGTTCTGCATAAAACAGTGATTTCATCGTCCAGTTCAGTTCTCAACCAGTAGTGTCAGTGCAGTCAAAACAATAATATTGTTGAATATTAAGTGTCCCCAACACTTAATATTGTTGGGGACACTTAGTAACAGACCTTATTTTACTCTTGGAAATCGCAAACCGCCAGGGCCAGCCCCTACATAAGCAACATAAGCAGTTACATAGGGCTACCACGGAGCCCCAGGCAAGGGGTTCAGACAGAAATGCTTGGCAATAATAACTTTGATAAAGTTTGCTTGTGTCGATGTTTGAAAATGAAGAGGAGGCACTATTAGTCTGGTGCAGAGAAGAGGAAAGTGAGAAAAGGGTAAGGGATGAATTTTGAAAATATATTGTTGAAATGGCGGTTGCTGCATTGTCTTATCGGTTTAATTCGGCATTTTGCAAGCGCTTTGAATACTCTGTGTCAATATAACAACAGTGTCAGTGTCATCTATATTGCAGTAAAGACCATGCACGGTATTATCATGAGCACTTTAAAATACGTAATTCTAAATACCCTATAATCCGAATTGTTTAGATTTTTAGATCACTCATTAGCTGCTTTTTCTTTTGACCAGTTCAATTTCAATTCTGTTCAGTTCAATTCAGATTTTTGTGTTCGCGTTGGTGTTTATCATGTTTGCATTTTAATCTGGACTGCTAGCCCAGAGGAGATAATTTTCTATTATTATTAATAATAATATATTATTATTCTCCATTTTAATTTTCATATCCTGCCAATGGGCAGATGTTTTTACTTTCATTAAAGCATTAATTTCATCAATCTAAATTGATGCATTTCTATGAAAGCAATGGTTTAAACACCTTTTAAAATTTCAAAAGTATGCTTAAGTATATCTTCACATTTATATCTTGAAACTAAGACAATTTGGTAACTTTACAGTAAGGTTTCAGTGTAGGATGTCTACATTGGGAAACGGGGGGTGGTTAAGTGAAACTGGGTTTCTGAGTTTGAGTATTCAAAACTGAACAGTTCTATAATGTATTCATCTTAATATTAATTGTTTGTATATTGAAAGGAAGTTGTTTTATCTTTGCATGGCAGGTGGATAACAACCAGTGATGCTCTTGCCCCTACGGACCCCTGCCTGTTTTGTGACCAGTGCTTTCGAATGTTTCACTATGACGATAAAGGGAACAAACTAGGAGATTTCCTGGCCTATGCCTATGTTGATCCAGGCACGTTTAATTGATCCCAAACCAAAAGTGTGTTCTACTATATAGTATTTAGACTATACAGTAATAGTTTTGTTTTCTTTAAGTGGTATTATGCCAAATTATATTGTTTGTAAATGTATTGACATTTTCCATATATTCACCACTGTTTTCTAAATAAAAACAAAATCTGGTTTCAAAAAGTGTTTTGTATGCTGCAAATCAGTAGCTACCACAATAAATATTTTAACTGAAATATGCAAACCTTTCCATGCATTTTTTTTTTTTCAGGCCAAATTTGCTAACATTTATAGAGTTTTTCCTGGGTAAAAAATGGTCTTTGGTGGTGGCGGACAAAAATGGTCTTCCACACACAAAGCACCCTACGCATGTGAATGGAAAGCTACTGACAAAAACACTGGTCACTACAGACAAAATTCTTCTAAAATAAATGTAGTCAAACATTACTAATTCTGGGTCACTGAGAACACAAATGATGCTTAAAGGTGCTCTAAGCGATGTCGCGCGTTTTTTGGCCAAAACTTTTTTTGTCACATACAGCAAACATCTCCTCACTATCCGCTGGGCTGCCTGTCCTCTGAACACACTGTAAAGAAACGCGATCTCTGTAGACAGCCCAGGCTCCACAAACAGCAACAAAAACAAACTGCAGCGACCCGCTCCCCGAAACATAACAAACTGTTCCAGCCAATGACCGACAAGAAGGGTTTGGGGGGTTAGTGTGCGGATGAGGAGGAGGGAGGGTCTAGCTAGCCTCCGTTTTGTTTGACAATAGTTCGAACGTCAACAAGAAGTGATGTCACCCAGGATCGCTTAGAGAACCTTTAAAAATGATGCTCTAGTTTTCAAGATATGTTATTGGTCAGTATATATAGGATAAGTGGTTAATAAAGGGAAGGGATCTCAATTTAAACCAGAAATTACTAAATTTATGTATGTGCTCTTTGATATCAATCTTTCATTTGAAAGTCACGTGTCTAGTATCTGTAAAACCGCATTTTTCCATCTTAAAAATATATCTAAATTACGCCATATGCTCTCATTGACAAATGCGGAACAATGTCAATGTCAAGTTTATTTGTATAGCACTACTAACCACAACACCAGTTGACCATTGTTCACATCAAATACAAAAGACACAAAAACAGAGAGAATAAAAGACACCATACAAATACAATACATTTCATCCTTAGCCATATGCTAAATCAAAAAGATAGGTTTTTAGCCTCGATTTAAAAACAGACAAGGAAGGAGTTAATCTAATATTAAAAGGTAACGCATTCCACAGTTTTGGAGCAGCAACTGAAAACGCTCGGAAACGCTCGCTTTGATTTCGGTCTACATAGAAGTCTCTGATTTGACGACCGGAGAGACATAACTTGATGATGTTCTGCCAGTAGTTCCGAAAGGTAAGGGGGGGCCAAACCATTTAAGGATTTGAAGACCAAAAGAAGAATTTTAAAATCGACCCGGTATCGTACAGGCAACCAGTGCAAATGACGTAGCACTGGAGTAATATGGTCCCGTTTTCTAGTACCTGTTAAAAGTCTTGCCGCCGCATTTTGTACTATCTGTAACCGGGATAAAGCTGATTGGCTGATCCCATAATACAGTGAGTTACAGTAGTCTAGCGTCGATGTTAAAAATGCATGAATTAGTCTTTCAAAATTATTAAAAGATAAGATTGGCTTTACTCTGGCTAAAAGACGGAGCTGGAAAAAACAGGATTTGACCACTAAGCTTATCTGCTTGTCAAATTTCAGACCATCATCAAAAACAACACCCAAGTTCTTTACCCAAGATTTTGCGGAAAGAGTTAAATTACCTAGGGTTATTTGACTAAGAGAATTTGATGTGCCAAACACTATAATTTCAGTTTTATTTTCATTCAAATTAAAAAAATTTAGAGATAACCAAGCTTTCACATCAGATAGGCAGCACCTAATTTTTTCCAGTCCATCGCAATTTGGTTTTAGGGGTAAGTAAACTTGAGTGTCGTCCGCATAACAGTGGAACGACAACCCATGTTTTCTGAAAATAGAGCCTAATGGAAGCATATATAGTGAAAAAAGAATTGGAGCTAAAATGGATCCCTGCGGGACACCACAAGACAAAAAAGCAACAATTAGTTCATGCGTTCATGACCTCAAGGGTAGATTATTTTAATGCTCTACTGGGTGGTTGCCCTGCACGCTTAATAAACAAACTACAGCTAGTTCAAAATGCAGCAGCTCGAGTTCTTACCAGAACCAGGAAGTATGACCATATTAGCCCGGTTCTATCAACACTGCATTGGCTGCCTATTAAACATCGTATACATTTTAAAATATTGCTGATTACTTACAAAGCACTAAATGGTTTAGCTCCGCAGTACTTGAGCGAGCTCTTAACGCATTATAGTCCTTCACGTCTATTGCGATATCAAAGTTCCGGCCAGTTGATAATATCAAAATCGACTGCTGGCGGTAAATCCTTTTCCTATTTAGCACCAAAACTTTGGAACAGTCTCCCTACCATTGTCCAGGAAGCAGACACACTCTGTCAGTTCAAAGCTAGGCTAAAAACACATAATACATTATCGACTTCTATAATTCAATTTTGGGCTGCATAGATTAGGTCAGCCGGAACTGGGAACACTTCCCTTAAATCCTGATGTACTCGTTACATCACAAGAAGAATGGCATCTACGCTAATTTTAGTGTCTTTGTTTATCCTGAGGTTTTCCCGCAGCCTACCGGACCCAGGCCGTTTCCAGATCTGACGAAGGACCTTCGCCTGGACCCGATGACAACGCAGTGCTGAAGTGGTGCCAACTAGCCTCTCCCTATGGAGGATCCCTATACCACTCTACAGTTAAAGCATTGTGAAATGTCGGTTCGCGTACCTACCCCGAAGTGATAAAATAAAATAAAATTCTGTATCAAAATTTATAGGCAAGACAAGTAGTTTGTTTAGGCATGGTTTGTAGCCAGGGAATTACAAACCTGCGCACATATATTCAAAAGCACATAACTATAGAATCAATTCTTAATGCGCATGTGAACGCCATCAGCATTTATCACAGGTTCGCGTTTAAAGTCTGTTTAGAGAGAACGGTGTCGTCTTAGCGGCCCCTAATTTAATAACAAATGATCATTTTGACGGAAGTAAATCAATCAAAACTAATTTTAGCTGGAACATAACATTATTCAAGAACCACTATAAAACCAAACCAATATCTGTTACCTTAAATTATATGTTTATCTCTTTAAAGCTGCTTTGAAACAATCTACATTGTTAAAAGCGATATATAAATGATTAGTGCTGGGTTTCGATTCAAATTTCAAGAATCGATTCGATTCCGATTCTCAAGATCTTGAATCGATTATCATTATTCGATTCGATTCGATCCGATCCGATCTTCGAGATTAAGATAAGTGTTTTTGAAAAAAGCATATTTTTTTTCCAGCTGTTGAATTACAGGACTGTAGTTATGCAACATATTGATACAATTATTATAGACATTTAACTGCAAATTAATGGAGTATTGATGGTTGTAAAGAACAATCCCCCTTCCAGAGTGTTGATACAACTGCTTTCACAAACTTGCACTGGTGTAGACGACAGAGGACGCAGAGGTATCAGCAGCAGTAACCGCAGAGGATTGCAAGTAACCGCAGCAACCGCGATATTCACGTTTTTTTATAAGGCTATACCCTTCTTGTTTTGAACTTCATGCATGTGTATTGAATGTTAAACAAGTTCATAATGATAACAAACAAGACTGTTTATCGTGGTGATGTGTAGCCTACAGAGGCTTCGCACAGACAGTGAATGAGAGAGATCGGCAGAGCGCGTGCGATTACCTGCGTCTGTCTTTGAAGTCATATGTATTTGTGAAAAAGGTTGCCGTGTCAAAGGAAAGCGAAATATTTGTCGTATCATCCTTTTAACGTTCACGTCACGGGTATTTACCATAAATGCGCGTCAGCAGCAGCGCTGGTCAGCATCCCACTGCGCGAGGAAGCCGCGGGGAAATAAAATCAGCGAGTCACGCATTGAATCAATGCCATATTGGTCTCTAATAAGTGAAGCATCAGCTTCAGCGTTACCCATGCGACGCATTGCTGCTCAGCTGAGCCTTGAAAAGTGGAACTCAAAGTTAAAAAATAATTAACACCTTGTTTCATTACATCTCTTTTAATGAATCAGCTTTTTTGAACGTGTTCGTTGAATGAACGGTTTAATGACTCACTCAAAGCCCGTTGTCGTAACAATGTGCGCGCTGAGTGAAAGCCTTTCAATGCGCATACAGGGATCTCCCAGTCGCGGCAAGTTAAAGTTCACGGGGAAAATGTAAACCTATTAAAATCGATCCTCTGAGTTACGGATCGATCTTTAGAAATTAATATGAAAATCGATTCCGAATTGGTGAATCGATTTTTTCAACACAGCACTATAAATGATGACTTGACTAAAATACATCTTTGACTGGATCTATGAATAAATCTATGGCTGGGTTTGGATAGTACTTGCTTTTTAGGCAAAACAATGAATGATGCTATCTGAAGCTGGTATTGTGTCATGCATGATATGAACTGCATCATGTTATTCCTAGAAGTCATGGATGAAGCAATCATAACGCTTACATCACTCTGATGAACAAATCATACAGCTGGGGTGCCACAGCTCTGCAGGGCTGTGGCCCTCCAGGAACTGAGTTTTCAGTGTCACTGTCATACAGTGCCTTGTTCTCTTATTTGTTAGTGTTTGATTTTGCAAAGGGACACAATTCCATTTAGCCAAAGTGAGCATAAATGCCTCATACTTCTGTGAACAGTGCAGATAACTGCAAATGGATCCCATCAGAGAGCGTTAAAGGGTACCATGTGTCAAAATTTGTTGATGACCCCACCCCCTAATAAAACATAAAAATTCCACACCCCCGTCCCTCTCATCTGACTGAAAACCTTTTGGACACCTGTTTATCCTCCCTCCACCACCCTCACTACTGGGTTACCATCACTACCATCCCAATGGAGGAATTTAGGATCCTGTTGTGCTTTAAACTTTAAAACGTGAAACAATGTATTGGGTGACAAACATTGCAATCAGGGTGATGTTTTTATTTAAAGCTGCAGTCCGTAGCTTTTTTGGGTTAAAAATTATCCAAAATAAATTTGAGCAAATGCCTAACCAGCCAGTGTTCAAAACTATCTGCCTTAGCTCAATTCAAACCGGTAAGCTTGTAATAAT